AAAAATTCACAACAAAAATGAGTGAAGTGTTTAAATTTTTGAAAACCTTTGATATAACCTTGGTCACATTACATTAAGGACATAAGTGGAAATCTATATAAAGTAAAATTCTGGCAACCACTGCTGTGCTGTAACTGAGTTTTCTTGTTCAACGGTCAAAACACTTCAGACAGTTAACATTTATCATAAATTTTGTTTGCACAAGGCTTAAATACTGATGTCTGGACAATTATGTGGTTTAACGAAAAGCAGTTGACTTTTCACATTTTACCATGATGTATAAAACGATTTATATAATTATTTGACTTTTATAGGTTTTAACTGAAATAGTTTAAATTGGCCACTTCTTAGTAAGCTCAACTTGCTCAAAGAGTTAAATCAGCTAATATCAATGCATTGTATTCATTGCCAGTCCAATACCAAATGTTTCTTATTTTCATCTCCTAAAAAATAACATGGATTAATATGAACTTAGCTTTCATAAGTAATTTATTGAAAGTCTTGCGTTAAAGTTTTTCATTTTATTCAGATTTTGTTTAGAACCTTTTCTTGATTCTCAATATTCCTATTGATATCTATAAAGTTATAAGGTAATTTTGTTTATATGAATAATCAGAGGATGATCTTTTATGAAATAAGACGATATGGTTCTTTACATAATTTATATTGGGTTATTTTCATGTCTGGTTTTGTATGTGGTTTTTGGCCTAAGATAGGACAGTTGAATCTTCTTTATGTTCATTATTAGGGTTTCATGGCCTTGTACAATGCATTTTAATTAACAGTAAAATGTTCCTGAAGGGAAAAATTTCTCCATTGAATGCCTACTGCAAAAATAGCGTAAATTAGATACTTTCAAAATTTTCCAAATATATGGTAATAGAATTTACTGTTGGCTATTGGTGTCTGCTTGATAGTCTAGTTTCTTGCAAATTTTAAACTTACTACATTAAACTTATAAGAATGTTAAAGAAAAGTAATAATACTAGAAAGTTTATATGAACATAGAGTATTAAAATATTTTTTATCTTGTCATGTAACAAAATATAGAAATTCAACAAATAACATGTTATACTGTTCCTTTGCTTTGGGTTCAAAGTGAAAAAGGATTTTATGTCATGAACTTTTTGAAAATAAGTGAACTAAACTTGTTGTTAGATATTGAACTACAAAACAAACATTTTAGTGTGAACCATTTACTTGGCATTTAGTTGTGAATGATGACCAGTTAATTTTAACAAGCTTAAAATTAAGATATTGTCGGAGATTTTTTTGTATAAAACGTGTTTGTTTAAAAATATCAATAGATCTGCTATTGTGTTAATTGCAATGTTAATATTTGTGTGTAGGATGATGTGAAGTTGGACCACTATCAATTTCCTATCAAATAGCCATTTTCACTAACGTAAAAACTTTTTTAATATTGAAAAATCATTATTCAAGATAGTTTTTTAATGATTATACATTGATCTTGATTGTACCGGGTAAAATGTCCGCAATAAATTACCATTCACCAGAGAACAATATCCTGCAGTTCAGTAAAAGCCAATCTAGTTCACTTTTCTATAATATATATTGGATGATTATAATACATGTATAAGCAGTATAATAGAAATTAGATGTTTCATATTGAACATGCAGAGCTCCTTATTTTTTAAAACAGAAAAAAATAACAATTTCATTGACAGAGCACTTGAAACTGTTTATGTAAATTGCTTTTTCATTCTATATAATGACAAACAATAGTTATTAATTTCAATAAAAATGATGAAGAAAAAAAATTCATATATAATTTATATATGTTTTATCAATATCTCGAGTAATTTTATTTAAGTAAAAGTTGAAAGGACATAAAGTGTTGGCAGTAGGCTTTCATTCTGCTCTTTGGTTGGGTTGTTTTCTCTTTGGTTGGGTTGTTTTCTGCTCTTTGGTTGGGTTGTTGTCTCTTTGACACATTCCCTGTTTCCATTCTCTATTCTATTCTATTGTTTGTTTTCTTTGATTCAATTATAATCATCTCAAATAACAACGTCCTCACATTTATTTCAAGACTGGGTCCCTATCTCTTTCAACGTTCTTGGGCTTCCTCCACCAATAAAAACTGGTTGTTTGAAAAGAGTGCTGAAAGTGGGGTTAAACACCAACAGTCAGTCAATCTTTCAGACACACCATCTTTCTATTTAAATGAGATATATATTAATGTATATTGCATTATCATTTTAAATTGATGATCTTCATGCTGTTGCAGACAATAAAGTCCTAAGTCATTAGCCATTAATTCAGTGGTTGTCATTTGTTGCTGTATATCATATTTGTTTTTTGTTTATTATTTTGTATATAAATCAGGCATATGAATTTTTTATTTTGAATTTGTTTACATTTGTCATTTTGTGGCCTTTTATGGCTTACTGTGAGATGTGGGTTTTGCTCATTGTTGAAGGCTGTATGATAACCTACAGTTGTTTACTTCTAGGTCATTAGTCATTAATTCAGTGGTTGTTATTTGTTGCTGTATATCATATTTGTTATTTGTTTATTATTTTGTACATAAATCAGGCATGTGAATTTTTTATTTTGAATTTGTTTACATTTGTCATTTTGGGGCCTTTTATAGCTTACTATGAGATGTGGGTTTTGCTCATTGTTGAAGGCTGTACAGTAACCTATAGTTGTTTACTTCTAGGTCATTTGGTCTCTGGTGGAGAGTTGTCTCATTGGCAATCATACCAAATCTCCTTTTTACAATAAAACCTTTTCAAGTACAAATATAAAAGTGAATGATAAATCTGGATACAGGCTTGCAGATATGATTTATAAAATCTAGCTCTGTCATTATGCCCCACCTATGGTAGAGGGGCATTATGTTTTCTGGTCTGTCAGTTAGTCTGTCTCCGTCCTGTATCAGGTTAAAGTTTTTGGTTAAGGTAGTTCACCATGAAGTTGTGATCACATCAACTTGAAACCTACAAATGTTCATTGTTAGGTGATTTTTTCCAATTTTATACCAAACTATGATTTTGACCCAGATGACATGATGTACTGTACATGGACACATGATAATGCAAGCAATGCATGGTGTCCTATGAACACTTGTTAATGTTTATAGTTAAGTTCTTCTTAAATTTCAAAATTAAAGAATAAAAAATACAAATTTCATTTAGCTGATTCCAGGGGTTCAATTAGTGTGGGTCTGAGGTCAGTGACCAGTATATTCTAGGAGTGGACTTTTCATTTTTTAATTAAAAAAATAAAGTATGTCCCATTCTTTACACTGATGTTGTCACCAGAAAATCAAATGGTCCTTGACATTTCATTATTTAAAGCAAATTTGTACCACTTTGTTTAACATTTTATATTTCTGAAGGAAGAAGACATGGATGCTTTTTACCTTATATACAGATGCCTTATGTTACAAAGTTTCTGTCTGTCGTATGTAAACATTTTCTTGACCTCATTTTCATGGTTAACTGATAAAGGTTAAGTATTCATGGTCAAGTCAGTTGGTGTATGGAATAATTGTGAGGTGTACATGTCTGTCTGGCAGGGTTCATCTGACCATGATCTAATTTTGATTGTTCATTGGTTAATAATTAAGTTTTCATGGTTATGGTTATGCCTGCTTCTCAGATACTATAGCAATTGCTCTACCATTTTTGGTGTATGGAATGATTGCATGGTGTACATGTTGTCTAGTTAATGTTCAGTTTTCCTTATTAGGTCTGATTCTCAGATATTATAAGCAATAGGCTAACTTTATTTGGTGTATGTTATGATTGTAAAGTGTACATGTCTATGGGTGGGTTCATCTGATCTTTACCTCATTTACATGCATAATTGACAACGTTAAGATTATGTAATACTTGTAGTAAAACCTTCAACCTTCAATCATGATAAATAAAGCAGGCAATTAAGTGTGTGCAATCTTGTATAATATTGGTCGTACCTTCATCTTTATTATCCTGCTCAGCTGTTGATAAAATGTCTTCTTTGTGATCCAGCAAGGTATTTATTTATTTGACTCCAGCTCAGCCTTTTGGCCTTGTACAAAGCAGGGTATCTTCATATTACTTTAACTGTTTTTGTCCTGAATATGTTGATGTTTAGCATCCATCATCAAATAATCCAACATAAAATGTATCAATAAATTAAGGTTGAAATGCCTTCTGGGAAACACTTTAAGATTGACATCAATGAGATGGGGTGAGGGGTCTGGGATGTATAAAAATGCAGATATGTTCAGTCAGAATAGAGGCAGCCACAGCCTTAAATTTAAGGCCTGAGTTTCCATAGTGCCATACCCACTGCATGTAAAAGATCCCCTGCAACAAGTCTTTGAAGGGTCAGAAGATGGCCTGTTGCAAGCAAAATTTCTGTCCCTATCTAACATATATCTTTTTCTGGTGGCAGTAGAAATTATCCTGATTATGCATGAAATATTTGCCACTGGACATTATGAAAACACAATTAATCAATAAGTGTAATAAACTAAATGTTTTGAGGAAAACATTTAAAAGATTATATTTTAAAAGTGTTTGGGCGTAATTTAAGATAGATATTTATTAAATGGTATGCCATTATCTGTTAAAGACCTGTGTATATATTGTGCTACTGGTGAAAGAATTTTAAACTGTCATTTTAGTAAATGTGTTGAAATTTTTTGATAATATATTAGTACTTGATTTTTGTGATTTTTATCTTGTGGTACCCAAATATTTGAAGAGGAACGCTCCTACCTCGAACGATATCAATTTCAAGGATATACTTTCAATAGAAAGTAGGTACTTATTTAAATATTACTTCAATCTGAGATGAATACCCCTATTTGATAATGATTTTTTTCACTACTGTGTTTTTATCATAGAAGATAATGATAGACGTGTTGCCATTATCGATAGATATCAGTAGTCAGTACGAATTTCTATATGGAGCCTTGTATATTCTGCCTGAATAGTTATTTAAAATCCTATTTTCGGTTACAGCTTAATTTTCGATAGACAATGTAGTTAGACGAGTTGGTTAAATGGAGTCGACCACAGTTCAGTAAATATACCTATATTGAATAGGATTCTTCATAAGTTTTTTTAACTTTTATCAGTGACAAACAATGAAGTACAAAAGGACTTTTATTAATTTCTCCTTTCATATGTGTGAGGCTTTTGTGTATTGCAGAAAATGGTAGAAAACAGTAATTATAACAGTTTGGAATAATGGGACTAGTAATAAACAGAAGTTTGCTTAAGAAGAAGTGATAATGTTTTTTGTGGGCTATAAGGAAATGTATGGTAAGTCAAATATATATTTTATAAATATGGAAGAACATTTCAAAGTTCAAATTTACCCTTTTAATAAATCATAAGATTCTTAGGGACATATGGAATTAATTAATTTCTATATAATAATGTCTGAGTTTATATTTAAACATAGATTACTATGGATTCATTTATTAGTCCTCTACCAATGAAGTCAAAGGGGACTTTTAGGTCTTCACTCCGTCTGTCTGTCTGTCTGTCTGTCCATCAGTCTGGCAAATCAGTTTTCCACACTTTTTTTATTTTTTTTATTGACTTGATATTTGGCATATAGTTAAGCCATGATCAAGTTTGAATTTTGTTTGGTTCGGATGATTTTTTTGCAGAGTTATGGTCTTCGACTTAGAAAACTCACGCAAATAATCAGTTTTCCACACTTTTTTTTCGTTATGCTTGAAGATATTGATTTGATATTTGGTACCGGTATATAGTTTTACTCTGACAAGTTACAGATCAAGTTGAATTTTGTTTGGTTTGGAGGATTATTTGGCAGTTATGGTCCTCTGACTTAGAAAATTTACGCAAGTAACCAGTTTTCCACACTTTTTTTCATTCTTGGAGATATTGATTTGATATTCTTTATATAGTTTAACACCATGACAAGTTATAGATCAAGCTAGTTGTTCCAGTATAACACTTTTTAACCAGTAGGGGACTATGTATTGCCATTCAATACTCTCTTAATGCTTGTTTTAGTGGGTACCAATTTTCATATTGAATATTTTATTTTTGTAATTTTGCCAAAGTCTACATACAACCTAGGCTATAGAGAATTTCAACTTTGTTGAATAGTTAGATTCGTTGTTCATCTGTAACTACAAAATCCACAAAATAAGTACCGTAATAACAAATCTACAGTATATAAAAAAAGATATATGATATATATGATAAATGACCTGTTATAATTATCATTATTTTTTCAGTTAAGTTAATATAAGAGTAAAGACCTAAACTTTCAGTTTTCTTTTGGACAGTTGCATTTGTACCGTTTTATAGAACGCAACTTAAATAGAGATCTAGTCACATGTAGTAATTGCATAATGAAATTCTAAATATGAAGTCATGTTTTCATAATATTAAGATATTAAATATTGTGAACAACAGAAATCAACAACACCACAATATAAACAAAAATTCATTAATTTGAAAAATTCATTAATTTGATAATAGCATCTGACATCCAATGCAACACACATTCTTGTCATTTTTTGTACATTTTCCAATTTGAATCACAATAAATTTTCATTCCAATTAAGTATTTCATGGGTTATTTTCCAATTTACCATTGTATACTTATATTTAAAGAAATTTTGCAGCTTTCAATGTAAATTTTTCATGAAAGTATGGCCTAACATAGCTACTCATTTCTAATTGTCTACTACAAATACATTTTTTTTTAATCCCACTCAATGTATGATTATTCACTATTGCAAAATTAAGTTAGAGTGTCCAACTGTTTATCCCCTTTTCACATGAATCAAGACTTCTGTCATTTAGCTTTATATCCAATGTTATATATGAAATGGTTGATTAAAGTAAGGAAGAAAAAAGGAGAAAAATCAGAGAAGGGCAAATTGTAGAATTGTTGTTTTGAATATGGATTGTTAAATCTGTCTTCGTAAGGTAGGACAGTCAACTGATTTCAGTATATTTAAGGTCTAATTCAAAATGGATTAATTTCATTAATACAAGGATACACCATCTCTTCATTTTACTGTGCTTATCCTAAAGGCTTTGATCTTTCACAATACCAATTGCTTGAATATTTTACCAATTTGCAGTTTGAATTCACATAACAAATCATAGGTGTACTGTAGAGGCAGTCACTTGACCTTTTTTCCACTCACTAGAATGTTTATGATGTACTTATGCATTGATGTTTGATTTGATATTTTCAATGTTTGTAAGATTTAAGATTTAAAGTTCTATTAGAAGAACTGGATGTATTTGTCTGCAATTACATTAGGTTGTAAAAGCATTCACAGACCTCACATATTTGTCTTGCCTGTGACGAAAGTTGGGGAAAGCAAGACATAGGGATTGCTTTTCCAGCGACAACGACGATGATGATGTTGGTGTCAACAATTGTTAAATTTTCTGCTTAAGTTAGTTTGACGGGAAATACTGGTGATAGATCATTGATATTTGATTTAAAGATACATTACGATCAGTACATTTCAGTTTGACGACTATTTTAAGGCCCTGCCCCCTAGGACAAGGTCCAGTGACATTGAATTAATTAGCAATCTTCAATGTTAAGTTTTCTGCTTAAGTTAGATTGATTGGAAATTCTTACAACAGACAACAATATTTTCTATAAAGTTACATTACTGTCTGTACATCATTTTTAGGCCCTAGATCATGGTCCAGCAACTGAATTAATAAGCAATGTTAATGTCTATCAAAAATGTCTTTTTCTGAATTTTATGCCGACAGGTGAGACATATCTCTGTGTCAACAGTTTATTAGTATGAAGCATTTTTGTACATGACTTACAAATTGTACATCAGTCATAACTTCCATTCATTTCACACGAAATGTGCTACACGTTGACAATGCAAACTTAACTTTTGTTTGCTATCCTCTTCAATCACTAAAATCATGAATTTTATGTTAAATTTCTAAAACATCTGATTATTTATTCAAAAACACATTTGCCTCAATAAAAAGTACAGGGAGTGTTAATATATTATTAAAATTTAATATATTATATTTAAGTATTTTAAGTGGTCACCGATTTGATAGCAGGGAATTAGATTGATGCAGGGAATACTGTAAAAAATAGAAAATACATTCAAATCAAAATTACTGTATGGGTAGCATATTTAGAAAGTAGGGTTCCATAAATTAAAATGATTCCAGTTTTGACTAAGCATATTTTGTTTAAGAATTTTTTCTTGACTGTTATATATTTTGTTCAATTTAACGATTTCATTGATTAGGATCATATATAAACTGATCACACTTCAGATAAATAGTTTTATTTTGTATCCTATTTAATTATTTAATTATATATTGTTTATTTCACCTTGATGACCTTAGTGATAAATAATTTCAATAGAATGACTTAGAGGAATACAAAAATTGACTTGTATTTAATACCATTTAATATAATAATGTTTTTCTTTGACTTGACATTTTATAGCGTGTCATGAAAGATCTATAATGATGTGTTGATAATAACTTCTCCGTAGTTACCTTGACCAATTAGACAAATATATTTAGTGTATTCCTTGGCATTTGAATGACATTTTTAAATAGTTAATCATTGTTTAGAAATGAACAAGAAAACATTTCATTTTAATGAAATTTAGTTGAATTTTTGTTCTTGTAGAATGGTGAAAAATTCTGATGATTTGCATGCTCATGTAGTCATTGTAGACCATATGAACTATGGTCTTCTCTTTAGACAAAAAAAAAAAGAACATCATAACTCAGTCTATTAAAGAAACTGTATCTAATAGATTACACTTGATATAATATATTGGAAAAAATGAAATAAAAATTAAAATGAAATAATTTATTTATGATATTGCAATATTTTATTTATTGAAGTCAAATTAAAAAAAACAAAAGTTAATCAGAAATAACAAATTTTCATGCAAGTTGTCCTTTCTATTTTATTTATGATGAAACTTAAAAATTGTTTAGATGAAATAAAAATTGATTAGACCAAACTAAAATTGTTTAGATGAAGCTAAAGTTGTTTAGATGAAACTCAGATAAAGTCACCAGAATCAAGCTGTTTCATCTGAGCAATGTTGATTTTAGTACCCAGTTAAGGATTGGACGGCTCAAGGAAAACTTTAATTTGAACTGAACAGTAGCAAGAAAAATGTTAACATTTGTAAGAGTATTGGTATAATATAAGTAGATTTACTTTCATTTTGTAATTAGTATTTTTTTTTCAGTTTCATATACAAATGCTTAAAGTTTCAAAAAATTGTAGATATGCCAATAAAATTTTAAAAGAATACAAAGGAATAGAAAAATAGTTCTGATAAATAGAATATATTGAGAATTGAATTGGGGAATTTGTCAAAGAGACAACCACCCAAACAAAGAGCAGAAAATAGCCCAAGGCCACCAATGAGTCTTCAATGTAGTGAGAAGATCCCGCACCCAGAGGTGGGCTTTAGCTGGCCTCTAAACAATAATGTATACTAGTTCAGCAAAATGGCCAGACTAAACTTCAAAAATACAAATGAACCAAAATTAAAAAAACACTTAAGACTAACAAAGGCTAGAGGTTCCTGACTTTGGACAGGCACAAAAATGTGTTGGGGTTAAATATGTTTTGTGAGATCTCAACCTTTCCCCTATATCCCTGAAAAAATTGACCTCAAGTACAAGCTCATTAAAAAAAGATTTAAAAAATTACTTGTTGGAACATTAAGAAGCTGTGTAATTTTATATGCATACCGGTAATAATTTTTCACACACCTACCTAAACTTTAAATATTGTTGAGGTAATTTGAATGATGCCAATACTATATGAATTCATAATTTTTACCGGTTTTGAAAATTGTATATTTCATAACAATTACTTATATGATTTTTTGTCGAGCCTGAAGCTCGACATAAGGATAGTGATCAGGCGGTGGTGTTAACTAACTTCTTAAAAGCTTAATATTTCAGTAGGTAGAAGACCTGGATGCTTCATACTTTGTATATAGATGCATTATGATATGAAGTTTCCATCTGTCATATGCCCATTGTCCTTGACCTCATATTCATGGTTCAGTGACTACTTGAAAAAAAAGTTCAGATTGTTTGTAATATTAATTTCTCTCTTATTATGAGTAATAGGATAAATGTATTTGGTATGCGCATACCTTGCAAGGTCCTCATGTCTGTCAGACAGTTTTCACTTGACCTCAACCTCATTTCATGGATCAGTGAACAAGGTTAAGTTTTCATGGTCAAGTCTATATCTCACATACTATAAGCAATAGGTCTACAATATTTGATGT